CCCTCATTGCTCTCCCCTCCCATAGGTCCCGGGTCAGACTGAGTTAAAAGGGCCCCGAGCAACACTACAAAGCCACCAAAATCCCAGAGAAACACCCACAATGAGCTACTGAGCCCACTCCCTCCCTACCGTCCCCCCCACCCCACCCCACCAGCGAGGCTGCGGTCTGACCAGCATGGCCCTTGAGGTCCGGCTGCTGGAAGAATGACCCCAGCCTCACTTGGGCTTTTCCAGAGAGGTAAATTAGAAGGGTGAGAGCGGGTGGAAGCCAGGTGGTGTAAACACACTATCACCAGATTCAGAGGCCGGCTGCGGTGGAGCCTAGCTTTAACACAGGCTTCCTGGATCGGAGACAAGGGGCTTGCACTGCCCCCTGAGGTCCCGTCTAGAGAGTCGGCCTCTCACCCCCTCCTGCCTCCCTGTCCCTGTCCTGCGGCTACCCCCCTCCTTCCGCCACAGCTTTGTGACCAGCGAGGAGGCCTATCCGGTACCCGGGCTCCAGACCCTCTTCACAGCAGCTTCACTCGAGAGGGTGTGCGGGATTCCAGGGGACCTTGGAGAGGACCAGACATGAAGCTGGACCACGGAGAACCAGGCAGGAGCCGTGCAGGCGACCCAGAAAACGCTTCCCTACATCCTGGAGCAGCCAGGGGCCCAGCCAGGCGGTAGAGAGCTGGCCTGGGGGGAGGCCCTGGCCTGGGTCCCAGCCTCCAACCCCACAGCTGTGTGACCTTGCTCAAATTCTGTGCCTCAGTGTCCCTTTTTGTAAAATGAGGGGATTGAATAAGGTGAATGGTGCTCGAATGTTTATTTAGCAGTAGAATCCTTTTCCTCAAAAGAAATCTGAAGTGGAAGGCCAGAATATAGAACAGACGAGTAGTGCTGCTAGGTTGAAGTGAGGGGGTCAGGGCCTTGCCCCTCTTCACCACTCCCCCAGCCAAGAAATCCCTGGGCTGCTCTGGGGAACTTGAGGATCTGGAGGAACCCATCTGAAAAGTACTGGATCAGGTGCTCCCTTCTACCACTGCCCCCTGGTCACAGTGGTGCCACTCTCACTGGGTCACAGCAGAGGATTCCCCAGCCCCAGGCCCAAGGAGTGTCTGTGTGACCACACAGTGAGGCCAAGGATGAGAAATCAGCTCTTGTCTTTTTCCCTGCGGAAATAGGAAAGGAGATGGGCCTTGGCTACAGCAACGAAGATTAGGGTTAGACTGTGCTGGCAGGATGGAGAGAAGTAGGTTGCAGGGGGACCCATGGCTCAAGGAAATGCCCTCCCCTTTGACCTCTGAGCTTTCTTCCTCTGAGCAAGGCCAAGGGAAGCTCTGGAGATGGAGGTGTGGGTTACGCACCCTCCACAGGGCTCTGCCTCTCCAGACTTCCTCAGACTCTGGAGTTTGGAAGGATCTAGGGGCTGCGTGGGCATTCTGTTCTTCACCTAATAGCCATGTGGTGCAGAGAATGCTTGGAAATTATACCATCTGTTAATTATCCTTTGAATTGCGATTGGGTAATGAGACTCTCATTTCTGGTGAAGGCCCAAGCCAACCCGTGGAGATGCTGCAGCTCTCCATTCATCTCTCTCCCTTTGTTGCTAAAATAAGCTTTCTGGGTGGGAGGAAAGAGTAGCCCTGGCTCTGGATCATGGAATGTGGTTCTGGAGCCTCGCACCTTGAGGCAGGGTTGCCAGGGAACGCATGAGCACAGGAGACCCCTCCAGGTGGGCGGCCTTTCCACCCAAGGGCGGATAGGTTGGGGGATCCAAGGAACGCTCCCCGTGATCCCCAGGCATGTTTGGCAAATAGTCCTTAATCCTCCCCAGTCCTCCCTCCAGGGGCACAGGACAGAGCTCTCTCCCCATCACTTCCTCAGATACTCAGATACTTCCAACTCCCAAAAGCAGGAGGGAAATTTCCAAGTTTCAAATGCATCACTGAGAGTCTCAAATGAGGGAGGGGCTGCCCTGGTGGAGGCCTCCCTGATTCCCAGGGAAGGGCTGCCTGCTTCATGGAGCTTTCCAGCTGTAAGGAAGCTATGGACCTCCCTCCTATGTGTAAGGGACATTTAAGCTTCCTTTCTGCATAGCTTCTAGGTGCTATCAAGGGGCAGCAAGGGCTTGGGGTCTGTTAAAAGAGAATTTATTGCTCTTCCAGTTCAAACCTCCCACTTCACAGTGGAGGCTCTGGAAAGGAAGGAGACCTGCTTGGCTGGCCTTGGGGCTGTCCTTTAGCTCTGATGGGATTCCTTACTCAGCTTGCTTCCTGAGGGCCCCTGGATAAGGCATGGCCCTGGCTTTCAACCCAACGGGGTTGCATGGGTGAAGTGCTCCAGAAGCAAATGAGACAGAAAAGGCTAAAGGAATTCAGAGGAGAGAGTGGTGAGGGTGGGGGAAATCCCAGAGGGCCTCCTAGAGGAGACAGGACTTGGGCTGTATCTTCAAGAATCAGGAACAGCATTCCTGGAAGAGGAATTCATTAATTGAGTCTCTTAAGCTACATGTTAAGTGTCTTCTCCATGATTATACCGTTAGTAATGGAAGAACCCAGGCAATCTGGGTTCAGAGCCAGGCAATCTGGCCCAGGCAATCTGGCCCAGAGCCTACGCTCTTAAGCAGTACGCTATGAATGAATGAATGAAATGAATGAATGAATGAAATGCAAGCATCAGCTTGGCTGGAGCTGAGATTGGGGTGGCTCCGCTGTGGCCCAGCACACTGGAGGGGCAGACAGGGGCCACATTGGAAAGAACAAGGTGAGCTCTGCCTTGGGCAGGTCCTTGTGGGCTGAAATTCTGGAACCAATGGCCTGCAGGGAAGGAGTGGTAGGGAGGGAGGCCGCTGATGGGAACGGTCATGGTGACCTTCTGTGGGTGGGCAGGGCAGTTTCTCTGGAAGGAGAGAGTGGGGAAGAGGCCCTGGCACCCGATCCCATTTCTGGGCTCCGTGCTGCTTTAGAAAGGGCACAGAAACCAGAAGGAGAGAACCTGGCCATGGGGGGCTCCTGGACTGTGGGGT